GGCAGGAGCTAACCTGCCATGGAGCGCCCTACACTTGGCCACAACCCCATGGTAAATCTCGGAGCTGGGGTTGTACGTCAGCAACACGGGACCACCACGAAACCCAGTAAAAAGATCCTGAAAAAGATGAAACTCCAGAAAATTGTACCAAAACACAACGAGAAACAGGATCGTCCCCACCAAATAATGGGACAAGGGTATCGCAGCAACCGACTTGAAAAGGAGCTCATACGCAATCGCCGGCGTTTCAAGAATTTCTTCGTAGCAATCCATGGAGCCGAGATGGGGAAAAAAAAGATTACTTTTTTAATTAGCTAGAAACAGCAAAATCCAGAGAACATGGAAATGGGGTCGGCCAGATTATATGATTTCTCGTGGGATGTGAATTTTTTTTCATTAATGGCGGTGTCTGGTGAGAGTGGTGAGGACTTTAGCCTTGGACGGTTGGGCATATTTTTAATGTGGTGTTAATGTCGGACTATATGTTATCTTTTGCATTTTTCTCATATAAAAATGATAAAATTGTTTGTATGTTAGCTTAGCTAAACAAGAACGTGTTGATAGGAAAGGTGAAGTGAAATTGTTTGCATATTTTATCTTACAGTTTGAACTTAAGTCGCGTTTTTCTTCATAGTTTAAGACTTAATTCATATTATTCTTGGTTGGGGTACATCTTATACGTGGGCATTGTCCTCCATAGATTTTAACTGTTAGATCATACCGAAATCATAGTGCTATCGAAAATAGTTGTTTTTATTAATGTACACTATTCACGAGATCTTTGTCAAATTGTACGTCTTAAATAAGACATAATTTGACGGTAATTTTAACCGTCAGATCATAATCTATTATTTGAAAAATTTAGAAATGAAGTAAACAATAACTCACAATAAGATGTTTGAGAGAAAGTTATCACAACACGAGTCACACGCTCTGAATTCAACTATTATTTGTTGTATAAAAACAAATTTAGATTGTATTTTTTTACATTCCACGTTCAAAAAATATATAGTTGGATAACTAAAATTATCGTGAGAACATTACTTATCTGTTTATATTTAGAATTTAAAATTCTAATACCCATAGATCCGACATTTAAAATATCGACCAAATGAAATTGGCCGTATTTTCTCTCTTTAAAACAAATCTCAAAGAAAATGTTGCATGATAAAGTTAAAGACTTTGAACACATAATAAGACAAAATGAAGCATGGACATCAATAGTGATATGTTTATACATTAGGCAATGATAATGGTGACAAAAGCTTATGAAATGATTAGAATGCAAACGTTCTAGAAGTATATTCAACCCTATATTCCCTTCCACTATTTATTTATAATTGCATAAAATTTTACGTTATTTTTATAGTTTTCATTTTTTTAAGAAGTGAGGTTCGGTTATTAAGGAAACTAGACTATATCAGCTGGAAAATCATTCGAACAAATGGAGAACACGGGATTACACGATTTTAATGTCGCTATTGATTAATTTTACGAATGTTGATCCAAAATACAGAGATTAAACTTAAATATATAGGTGATAATAGAATAGAGCACTATAAAATTTGAAATTGAATGGAAGTTGATGCGGGCAAAAGCGTACAATAGACACGAGAGTTTAAGAATTCACGATAATTTGTAATTTTATTCAACTAGTGTATACCATGTGCGATGCACGGAAACAATATTAAATTAATAAAATTATAAATAGACCTCGAGTTTGAGTCATTCAATGACGGAAGTGGAAACTACTATTGTTCCTATTTAAAAAGAGGAAGCAAAAAAAATAATTATAAATTAAAGAGGAGGATAAACACTACTTAATAATTATAAATTAAAGATTCGGGGTCAAACAATGTAAAATTATTTTGTATAAGAGAATATAAAAAAATTTGATTACACACCATTTCAAAATTATTATTATACTTTTTTGTATGGTTAGCTTATAATATTTGTAAAAATATTAGTAATTAGACCAATGAAAATTAGCTTTTTAAAGGAGATAATGGATTTCCAGTAGTAATTATGAATTAGTTTCTATTTTATTTTATTTTTTCTTTTTAAAAATAATAGATTTCTAGTAGTAATTATGAATTGGTTTCTATTTTATTTTATTTTTTTAAATCTGTATAAATAAGGGATGAGATTTTTTAAACACGTGAGATTGTATGCAATGGGATTTTGTAACAGAAGAGATAAGCGTGTAGATTTATACTAAAAATAAGAAAATGAAAAATAAATATTTATTGTCAAACAACGGTTTTGATAAACTAAAAAAAATGAGCCGATTTTTTTGCCTATTCAGATTTGTCCAACGATTATTATATTAGGATATATTTAATAATTTTGGCGGGAAAAAGTTTTTAAATTTGTAAAAAGGTTATTCTTTTTATATAATGATAGATATCAATCGATTCATTTTTAAAAGAGTACATTCATATATATAGTTTTGTAGTCTTCATAAGGCTTCTCAATCCCCCTCAAGACTATCTTCTTAGTTTTCCCATATAAGACTTTTGAATGACTCTTAGATTTTCTAACTTATTTTTAGAATTCTACACTTAGTCAAAAATAATAATAATAATAATAATAATAATAATAATAATAATAATAATAATAATAATAATAATGCACACAATCAATCCAAAATTCATGCGTGACATCGACGTCGCTCGTATTTCTCCAAGAACGCAAGGCGATGTCTCTGATAGAGGTTTAATTTCATTTGTTTAACTATTGTTCAAAACTAACCAAAATATGTGTTCTCGAACAACGCTTACGAATGTTAAACAAACTTGACAACGAATCACGGCCCAGAAAATATGTTTCGAATATCAAAAAAAAAAAAAGTCTTATTTATAATTTATTACAAATTACGAATAATTACAAGCTGAATACAGAAATTAAGCAAAAGTTACAATCTGAACAGAGAAATTCAATTCTACATAAAAATAAGTTGATGATCATCAATGTCCACCACCGACGACCAAAATCCTGGCCGATCCACCGTCCGGAGATGGGGTCGTCGGCAATACAGTGATGGCCAAAACGGCACTTATTACGGCAGCCACCGCTCCCATCACAAACGCCGGCAGGTTGCCGCCGCCAAATGCCTCATCCAACGGCCCACTCGACACCGACACTATCATCTGAGGAATCACTATAGCAAGATTGAGAAGCCCAAGAGATAAACCTGTCCATATTAAAAAAGGAAAAAATAATTCTCATTTGATAAAGAACAAGTAAGTAACACTAACACAACATTATATGTTTTTTGTGTTGTTGAAAAATTCACCTTGTCCAGCAGTTGTGGAGTTTGATGAATAGATTGAAGCCAGAGCAAATGGAAGACTAAAGTTCACCTACACCAACACAAAAAGAACACGACGAATCAAGCAAAATTCCTTTCCGATTCAACATTTGTTCCCAAAAAAGAAAAAAAAATCTAACTCACCGCAAGAGGAATTCCGAGTACAGCAAAGATGGCCAGAGCACCATTCTTCACGTCAGCTGGCGGAGCCGAGAGGCTCCCGCCAGCCACAGCCCTCGCGTGTTCGGCCATCTTCGTGATGAGAACCATCATTCCCAATCCAACGGCCAAGATCATGTTAACTCCTCCCCACAACTGCTTCACTCGATTAATCCCTGTAGCCATCGCCTGCACACCCAACGACGAAAAACCGAGCACAATAGCCTGCAACATGAGGCCCACAGCCCCTGCACGCACCCCACGATCATACAAATCCTCTCCCACTGTCCCACCATAAACTTCCCTACCCATCCAATCCGTATCGTACAGAAGAAAAGGAAACCACGCGACCCAATTAATGCTGGTGACGAGGAATAGCAGCCACATGGACTTGGGCAGCCCCTTGAGAGCTCCCAATATCTTAAACCCTTTGCTTCCATTTTGAGCCGCCTCAGCCTTCCTCGCAGCGGCCGAACCGGACTTCTCCCGAACAATGCTGAGGGCTATAGTCGTCAGAGTCAGCAGCAGAGTAGCAGAGATTATGAAACAACTCTTGAGATTCGCACAGTACACGTCGCAAGCCGTGGTCATCGTGAAGGGAAAGATCCTGTACAGCTTGGTGTACGAACCTGCCGCGTACCCCAGCACATTCCCCACCGCCATGAAGAACGAGAAGAGTGCGTTTGCCGTGCTTATCTTGCGCGCGTCCCCGTTCGACAAATCCGCCAGCATTGCCCTGCACGGCCCCTGCATCCCCACACGAGATCATCATAATCGAACTATTTTTTTTATTTTTCCGAGTGACGAATAAAAAATATTAAAATTAAAAAAAGAAAAAATACCTGCACGGTGTTGTTGGCAACATCGAGAATCCAAAAACCGATCACGAAAATGAGGAGTGCCTTGGGTTTAGGTACGGTTTTCTCGAGCGGGTCGCCGAAATTGTGGCCCATGTCAGCGGCATAACCGATTAGAACAACGGCTACAGCCACAAGGGCTGCGCCGGAAGCAATGAAGGGGACACGCCTCCCGAGCTTGTCGCTGAAGTAGCCGACAATGGGCTGGACGAGCAGGCCTGAAACGGGCCCGGTAAGCCAGACTATAGAGGCCCATTGATGGGCCACGCCTAGGAGTTGTGTGTAGGGAGTGAGGAGAGACAGCTGAAGGGCCCACCCGAATTGGAGCCCAGCTGCAATGGATGCAATGAGGACTATGTGCAGTGTTGAACCTGACTTGTTTTGTGACTCGCCGGCTTCCCCCATGACTGTGATTTAACTGTATATGTAATATGATACACGCAATTAAACCGTGATGAGAGAAAACACTATTAGCAAGAATGTTCACAAAGGTGGAAGTTCTACTATGTGCAGATTTTTTTATTTTTTTATTTTTCTATTTTTATTATATATTTCTCTTTTCCAGTTTGTAACCTGCAGTGAAAAACAGGTTACGACCGGAATAAAAGTTGAGGGGAATGCAGTGGAATGATATGAAAGAAAAGAGATGTGGGAGTGAGTTTATATAGTGCTGGGCAATCCTTATTATTAGGATCAAAGCTTGCAAAGATGGTAATTTTGTTTCCTTACAGTTTTACATGTTTTGCGGTTATCCAGCAAAAGTTGTACGGCAACGCGACATTCTTCATTAAAATTTACTAAATTAAGACTAGCTAGAGAGAATTAAACATACTAGCAATCCAGGGACACTAATTTATGTTATTAGTCATCATCATTTGTGAATAATCATAAATTCGATACATATATTTTTTTTTTTTTTTCCCTATCTGTGAATGGTATAGTATCAGCTGAATCGAATCATAACATACTAGCAATGAAGCATGCATTTCACATTTGATATCNAGAAAAAATCTCTCACTGTAACAACGCAATAAAAAAATATAGCAAGAAAAAATATTCGAACAACGTTTAATTAGCTTTGACCTAAGATCAGGGGCGGACGAAGACAGCGGGAGTACAAAGTACGGTCAATGGTCAATGCTGGAGGTCAATAGTTAAATCAATATTTAACCAATTAAAGAAATAAAAAGATTAAATCTTGATCAGACACATTGTTTATTAT